ACTGAAGGATCATGCCAGTCCTTTACAAACATTAGAGGTGTTTCTATTTTAATAATTCTGCTTCCCTTCCATTTGTTGCTAAACATGTAACCTTAAAGCTACAAGGTTGCAGTAATTTCCCAAACATGATTTTTTTTTAATTCAATAATGAAACAGAAGTTGTTGCTGGAAACAAAACTGTATTCAGTTTTGCTGTCTACTACTGTTATATACATTTCAAATAAGCATGCTAAATAACATTTAAAAGTGAGTCATAGAAATGTAAATCATAATATTATCTTAATGTAGTACTGGTATGGGTTTCATGGAAACATACAGTATAAGACCCATTGCAACAGATTTATGCAGGCAAGACAGTTTATTTGTTTTGATTTTTGTTTTTAATATGCATACAGTATGGTAGATAGATATGAATTGACTGTCATATTAAATATTCTGATACTGGTATTACAATATACTTAACTGTTCCAATTTGTAGAAGAGTTTAGCTTCTTCAACCTCCAGTGTATCAAAATGCTAAGCAGAGAAAGTCTTTTCTCATTGTTGTAGTTCTAAACATGTCAACATAAAGCTGTGGTAAGAACTTTCAGGAGGTAAAAGCATTGTTTATTGTTAGTTTTATAATCTGTTAAATCTTTGTATGTTTTATTATTATAATCTCTAATGGTGACACATTATTTAACTTTGTATGCATGGTTCATTTTCATCTTCGTTCCCAAAGCCTATGACTTAAAATTATTTTGATGAACCTAATATTTTAGAATAAATATCAGCACAGGAAACAGCAGTAGTAACTTATGTTCACAATACATTGTGTCCTATAACCATTATATTTCTCTGATTATGGATGATGAGGCTTTACAGAAGCTCTTGAATTCTTCATTTGTGTGATTGCAAAGTTTTAATTATAAGAAAAAAACGTTTTTCCATACATTTCACAATTCTGCCAAATAAGCATTAATATTTAAAGATTATTTCGGTCAAAACAGTATTTGTATTTTACATAGCACATAAATAAGAAGCTTTTAGAAAATTAATGCATAACGTCCCTGTGAAGGTTTCAGTTTTCTTGTAGCTATTTATAATGATTTGTAGTATAAAATATACAGTATTGGTAAGCTAGAATTAAATTCAATATTTAAAAATGGATAATGTTCTAATTCCTTTAACTTACAGGACTAAAACTTATGTAGGACAATGTAAACGTTTTCCTTCATGGTACATAATTTGTTAGATCATGGATGGTTCAGTGGTGGTAATCTCAATCTTCTGAATTAGGGTGTTCAGTAAGGGAATTGAGAATTTCATAAGTATATACGTTGTTAATTATGAACAAGCCAATGCACTATTATTTTGGTGAGAAAAAAGTATATGGAATCAGGTTATCAAAGTGGTGGCGATGTTTGCATTTTCCATGAAATGCACTGAAAGATTTATGAATAGAAAAGTCTTGTTGATAGTTTTTAAAAAATATTACTGAAAACCACCTAAGTTTATTTTTAAAGGGCTGAAGAAAACCCAAAAGGCTGCAAATAGGAAAGTAATGGAATAGGATGCTCAGGTTCTGAAAAAAAGCTCAGTCTGTTTAAATAATATTCAATAAATTTTTCGTTCTTACTTTTTAGTGGCAGAAAGGAAAGATAACGGTATGATGCTGAAGGTCACAAAAGCCTTGATGCTGAAAGTCACAAGAACATTCACAATCAGCTCACAGCCCATTTGCTACATTCAGACATGATGTGTCTGTTCTCAGGCTTCAGGGCAGCCTGAAGGCATTTTCTCTTTTTACTAAAAAAAATATACAAGGTGATGCATCTTCTTCATCCAATTTTTGTTATGGTTCATGATAACTAAAGACGTATACACTGGGCTACTGCCAAATCCCAGCAAAACAGATGACACAAGATGCACTGAATAAATCACTCCTTAGTTTTCCTCCTGAGTGTTCCCCTCATTCCAAGTGTTTTGCAAAGTGGCTGAACACATTCAAACAATGCTCTAGTTGTGGAAAAAGGTTTGTATATAAACACTTCAGGTGCTTTATGCAGCCATACTGAAGTAAAAAAGTATTATTAACTTAAAAACATGTTTTGGATATTTGCTGTATGCTTATCTGGGATGTTTTAACTGGAATTCTGATAAATAAGCTATTTGCAGAAATTAGTGTTTCATGTATGACAAAGTGTTACAGAGAGGGACACTGCCATCTATTTTTGTTTTATTACTGCCAAGAAAATAGCCACAATCAATGGTAGGTAAAAAGGGAATTTTTGTCCTGCAGAAAATCAACATTGTCAATTGTTGTTTTGTTTTTCCTAAGCACCATGTGCAGAGGGATTCAAGAAAGTATAGAAATGTCTGTGGAAAAACTAGGAATGGCAGTCACTAGATGCAAAGCTTTAAACACAAAGTGCATGGCTTTATTTTTTTTCAGATCATTTTAGCAAACCACATAAAATAATAAATAATTCATGTTGTAGGGCTTTAAGTAGCACAGTCTACAAAAGGTTTTTTCTAGGAGTAAAGATTGAGCCCTGTAGTTAAGAGATACGTAATTCGGATCTGGCTTATGTCATTAGTGGTGCACAACGGGGTGGGGCTCTGCAAAGATTGTGAAGGGGATTTGAAAAGCCAATATACATTTTATTGCCTTCATCTCCCCTGTGTCCCCGTGTCGGTAAGAAAAATGAGTAATTCGTAATTAGGAGGGTCATAAGGGGAAAAAACAGTGATTCATGTCAGAATTAAAGAAGCAGGCAAGCGAGAATCAGTTCAACCCCCTTATTCTCTCTTTCCCTCTATGATTTCCAATTAATGGGTTGATTTAGATTTAGCTACGATGTTTGTCACAAGATATGCTTGTAACTCAAAAATTGCATCAGATCAAAGTTTACTGGTATAATTGCCGTGGAGCAATCAGAAAAAAATACAATTTTAAGTTTAAATAACATTGCATTTGTAATATGTGGTCTACTGTGGTCTAAATCTGTGCTGCGATTTCTTGTCTTTGCCAAAAAGTTATATTTGATGCACTTGTTTGTTCATTGTAAATAGTTTATGAAATAAATAGACACAGGCAAAAAACAGAGTATAATTAATACGTAAGTTAGGACAACGGAACAAACAACATTACCTAGGAAAGTATGAATAGTTTGGTATTTTGGAAACATTCTGCTTTACTGTGCTAAGTTAAATGTACTTTTCATTGTAGTAAACTAACTTTCTAATTCTGGACCCTACCAAAAGAAGATTTTTGTCTTTATGCATCACTAGAGGCACCCAAATGACGTCTTTCCCCCCATATTTGGAAGAACTTTATTCCCTCCAAAAAAAGCACCAGAAATAAATGAAAAGTATGCTCTCTCTGCTTCCATGGCAACCTGTCCAAGCATTACCAACATGTTTAATTTTAAAGATAAGCCAGGAGGCTTTTTTCTTTGTGAATCATTTATTGGACTGAGGATAGATGTGGCTGAAAGATATCTATGTACATGACAGAGAGACACAGTCTGCTATTAATTTCAGTATTAACACTTGGAAATTACACGTTGTAGAACCTTACAAAGAGACCAAACATATTTACTGATGTCAGCTATTCACCTAATAAAATATTATAATTACCTCTCCTTAAATGATGCACTAAAATGAAATGTGATTGTTTTCTTCATCATCAATGAAGCTGTAATATTAAAAAATGGTAATGATACAAATGTTTTAAACAGATAAACTACCGCATAACATCATCAATTTGTTAACATTACCCGGTGGCTCATTTTTTTATTATTTGGGCTTACTCTCTAAGCTTTGATAGTTTTGGACTAAGGTATTTCTGTTTTTACTTATTATGAAATAAAGTATTTTTTCATATTGCATTGTTACAGTTACGGTATCTATGATAAGTATTTCCTTTTTTATTTAAAAAATGATTCCAGCAGCTAAGCTCTCAACAGCTGAATCAGTGTGTGGTCATGCCATTCAACACCTGGTCGGTAAAAGCATGTGGTCATGTTTACTCTGATTAATTGTAAGACGGGGGAAAGTTTTAATAGCTGAAATGTATCCTCAGGGTGCAGTCCTGAAAATGTAACTTGGCAGTAGGTTGATGAGGAATTAAGTTTCTTGATGAAAACTTGGACTTCATGGGTAATGGAACCTTGAAATGCAAAGGTTAGTCATGCAGTGTTGAAGTAACAAAACTAGGCTAAATCTTTGGTTAATTCATCAATTACTGCCACATCCACTAAGCATTACTTTCTTATTCACGTCATTGCACTCTGTTATGAAAAGAACATGTAGCTGTTTGGCACAAGAGGGAAATGAATTTCTTGTGGCTAATGGATTTCTGCAACATTAAAGTATCCTAGTGCTACTGCAAGGCAAGATAAAATAATCTATATTAGACGGTGCTATAACACAATCTTATGAAGAGATATATTCTGATGATTACATTTTCTGCTGACAAGAATATTAAACTAAACACCCTGCAAGAGCCCCTGTTCATCTTTTTTTAGTAACCATTTTTACATTACTTTTTCTATACAAGTTAATTTTTAAAGGTACTGTACCACACATTTAGAAGATTGTAAGGAATTGGTTACTTTCAACCAAATGAAAAAAGGCCTATGTTAATGCTTTTAGTTACAAATTAATTTATAACTCATGGGTTTTGGGAGGATGTGGGGATCAGACTTGGTTGAAAACCAATTGGAATGCATAGGGCTAGCAAGACAGCAATGCTAACTACTGTGTCACTGTGCCACCCTATTGGAATACATAAGTCTTAAACCACAGAAGGTAACATACAGCTGTATGTAAAATGAAGACAACAGTTAAAAGTCCTGCAGGTGACTTACTATGTAATGTAGACTGTTGATTCTGTTACTTCAGTTATTGTTTCATTGTGTGCTGATTAAGACAATATTACTAAATGTTTAGATTTGTGTTTGGTACATTAGAGACTCCATTGAATAATGATTTATTGTTTTTTTTTTCTTGCCTAGTTGGCGCTGTCAAGTGATAAGATCTCATCACTGCAGATACCGCTGCTCAACCTTGATTTGGACACCAAAGAGAATGGAGTTCTTAAGCCTCTGTCCATAGAAATGAATCGGGAGGAGCTGCAGAACTTAATAAACTCATTGGAGTCAGCAAACAAGGTACCCATTTTTTAAAAAGCTTTTTTGGAGGTCATCACACTGTAAATAACCAAAGAAGATTAATTTCAATCACTTAAACATTTGCTTACATATTAATGTAGTTAATTTACTAGCATTTTACAAGCGTTATCTTGAAAATATAGGTTTAAGATGGCTGTAAGCTAAGCTTCATGCCATCTACATTTAATGTAAGGTAGCCCTGAACCTTAATGTATGGTAGTGTAGTAACTAAACTGGATTCTTGTATCTTCACTGTCTCGCTAAACCTATGTTTAATATATTTACAGTGCCTTGCGAAAGTATTCGGCCCCCTTGAACTTTTCAACCTTTTGCCACATTTCAGGCTTCAAACATAAAGATATAAATTTTTTATTTTATGTGA